GATCTACTCTTGAGAATGTTGCACATATTTTGCACATTTTGCACTCATGTTGTACACACTCTCTATGCTCCAGTGTGCTGTTGTGTCTTTAGTTTATTCTATATTTATTGTTTATTTATTATTCTTGTATTGTTCTTCTGTTATCCCACTATAGTACATGTGAACTTGTGTCCTTGTCTTAAAGTTTATGCACCAGTGAAAGAGCCTGAACATGTTTTGTTATACTGTACTATGTACATACAGAGTAAAGTTAAATGTAAATAATTTATACAGTGTAGTGTGCTGTAAGCTACAATATTTTTAATATTATTACTTGATATTACTACTAATTAATACTACTAACAATGTTTTGAACAAAAGAAATGATCTTACCGTTCTGTAACGAGGCTCATCTCCAATGTTCAAATGATAAGTGGAGAGAACAGAGACAGCACTGAGATGACAGACATGTGGTTAACGCATTTTGCTGTTGCACTGTACTTCCTCTTATAGGATGCATGTGACATTTTCAGCTGCAGAAAGAGTGTCTGAGATGTGTCTGTACTATCACTGAAATTATGTCTTTCTGTTTTACATGTCTATTATTGAAGTTATTTTATATTATACATGTAATGATGTAGGATTTTATTCTGTTCCTCCTCTTCTCCTGCTACTGTATGAAGCAGTAATGGTCACTGGTTTGTTTATTAGTGCTGATCTCAGTACAGTGTTACCCAGCTGATAGAATAAACATCATCAGATCATCTGAAGAACAGAGTGAGTGACCTGCTGCACATCCCGATACTATTTTTAATGAGTACTAATTATTATGATGATGCAGTCTCCATTAGGTGAGGCACTGAATGAATGTAAGTGTTGACTTAAACAGTAAAACATTCTAGAAAGCATAGCACCCTGATACATTTCATTTTTCACCCCCTCATGCAGTCAAAGCTGTTCATAAACCCCAACAGTAAAACAGTGCTTAACGTTCCAAAACCACAACTGTCAGTCTAACATTTAAACTAAGATTCATGTATAAAACTGCTCCATCTGTTATAACTGAGTGATGATACAGCTTCATTACTTTACTCTGCTAGTTTGATAGTTAGTGAACTAAGTGTGACACAGCTAGAGAGGACAAAATTCTACACATTACACCACAGTTCTAAAGATTATTAACAAACAAAGCAGTTGTTCACAAAGTGTGTGTGTGTGTGTGTGTGTGTGTGTGTGTGTGTGTGTGTGTGTGTGTTTTATGTATACTTTTACAACAGCAACACTTCTCTCAAAGATCTGAACTTTCTCTTTTCCTCTTTTACCAGTTCCTCCATTCAGGAGTCTGTTTAGTGTCTGTACTGTCACTTTAAGAGACAGTAGGGTTTGACATCATCACTGGTCTCTGGACTGTCTGTCTGTAGTTTGTGAGTTAACAGGAAGAGGGCGCTGTTTTATCTGCTGTAACACTGTGTTATTGTTCTTATGCACACACACAGACACACACACACACACACACACACTTTTATTAGAGTTAAGAGAACATAGATGAATTTAAATAAAACACTTAAAAAAGAACACTTACCAAAAAAAGGCACCCTTAGCATTAGGGTCAGCGTTCTGGACAGAGGATGGTTAGAAGGTGTAGAGAGACTGAAGAAGTTTAGGAATCACTAGTTTAATAATTTACTGTTTGAAACAAATCATCTCGATCATGATTTACTGACTGAAATCAGAAGGTAAGTAGCTCAGAACAGCACCTTGGACAGCAGTCTCACCTTTTCACAGCTCCTTCCTAAAAACCTCAGTCCTACACTGCCATCTAGAGGAAGAGTTCTGAGTAACACTTTATTTTGCAGTGACATTGTTTTACACAACGAACTGGACATTTTGATGTAATTAAAAGTAAATTTAATGAAATGGCCTGGTAGTATTAGCATGTTAGGAAACAGCTATAATGTGGTAATAACATTGTATTTAAGTACTTGGAGAAAACAGGCAGCAGATTACCTAAAGATTAGCATTAGTAATTTATTATACAGTGCCATAACAAATATAATACAAATATTATATAAAACTTGATTTCTCATGTCCTAATCTTGTTGATCTGAATCTGCAGAAAAACGAATTTTAAATTTTAAATGTAGACACTGAAATATTATCTATTATCATTCAGCACCTTCTCTTAACAGTGACCATCGCAGTTCCATTCTGAGCTCCATGTTTATTCTGAGCTTCACAGTAGTACAGTCCAGTGTGGTCAGCAGTGATACTGATGATGCTGTAATTCTGTCCAATATATAACACTAATTAAACTCACAAATAATACTGAGCCAGTGTTGTCCTGGAGACCCACTGCCCTGCACATTCAATGCTTTATCTGCTCTGCTTCAACTCAGAAAAGGCTTGTTAATGATCTGATTAGCTTGATCACGTTTAGATCACTAAAATGTACAGGATATTGGTCCTCTATGATCAAGGGTGCGAAACACTGCTTTAAGCAATGAGGTCTCTGGTGTGTGGTGTGATATTTAGCCCTGCTCTTAATTCTGAAATCATAGTTTGAAAATTAGATCCAGAAGAGGAAATTTTTATAGCAGGTTTATTTATACACTTTTGCTTTACATGGCCAACACTCAGCATTAAAAAACACAGTCTCATCAAATTTTAGAAAATTTACTGTTGGTGGTCCCTTTGCACAAAAATCATTGTGTATTCAGAACACTGATCACTCAATTTCTGAATTCTAATAACCCACTGATGCTAATGCAGCAGTTACCAACTTCTTCTGAAGTGCAAACACAGCTTTCCACGTCCACTTCAATAAAAATGTATATGTAAGACTGCATTGCTTTTCATCCTCCAGCATAAACACAGTTCTTATCCAGCAGATGAGATTAATCTAAACCATCTGATAGAGTTTGTCAAGATCTTCTGTCAACATACATAAACATTAAGTTCTCTAAAAGCTTCATTTCAAACATTTTTACTTGCACTTGCTTATTATTTTTGAGTCCATTTGAAGCCCTAATTCAGAGGATGTCACTGTACATGGTTAATGTAAAATATTCTAGTAAAAAAACAAATTAAGCTGCAGACTAAATATGATTTTGCACAGCACAAATTTACAGTGTATATTATATAACAAACTACTTAGTAGATAAGATGCAGAAAACGGATGAATATAGAACAGCTGAGAACAAATAAAGATCTAAGTAAGCAAACACTCTCCAAATACAGCCGATCAAACTAATAATAATAATAAAATAATGAAATAATAAAAAATTACATTTAAAAATGACTGATAAACAGTTAAGCTTTAAACTGACTTCATTGGTTTGGGAGATGTGGTATCACCACCGTCTCAATAAAGACCAACAACATCACACAACACAACATACTCCACTAGACCATCCACACCTCTCTCTCCTCCTCTCACCCTCTCCATGTCAGTCCTCAGTGGGTCTAGTTTGATGTTACTGTGCTGTAAATCACTGAGGGGTCGTCCACTGTTTGAATCAGTGACCTTCAAAACAAACAAATGAAACTCACATCAGCACTTCTACAGTAAACCATCAGTGTTTGATCTGAACAACTAAAGAACCAGAAAGTCTTCAATGAAAATGATCACTGACCCGTCACACCCTGGAGGTGCTGATGATATTTGACACATTGTTTTTGTACAGCAACTTTTATTATTTTTTATTTATTTATTTATTATAATTATTATTTTTTATTCAACCCTGCGATGGACTGGCAACCTCTCCAGGGTGTATCCTGCCTTCTGCCCAAAGGCGGCTGGGATAGGCTCCAGCACCCCCGCAACCCAAAAGGATAAGCGGTTTAGAAAATGTGTGTGTGTATTTTATTTTATTTTGTATTGGTACATCTGACCCACGTAAATGCTTTGTATATCCTGACTCTTTTTATGAATGTCTGCAAGTGCCTAAATGAATGGATGTTTACATGTACATAATGTGTCACAATTATTGGCACCCCTGCATTTAGTACTTTGTACAACCTCCCTTTACTGACATCAAAGCAATGAATCTTCTCTTAATGTCTGATGAGGTTGGAGATCAATCTAAGACCACTCCTCAGAATCTATACACAATCTCTCCAGATCATTCAGGGTCAACTCTTTTGGACTCTCCTCTTCAGCTCACCCTACAGGTTTTCAGTGGGGTCATGAATATATGTTTAAGATCAGCTTTAGGCAGGCATATTTGTATTTAAATCTCTTGGTACTTCATGGATTCCATGATGCCTTTGATCTCAACAATGTTTTCGAAGAGTAAGGAGGAAAAGAAGCCCCAAAACTGCTTTTCCATCATATTTACACTGGGGAAAAATGTATCTTAGCTTAAATAACTGAGTGACCAGGCTGGCTTAAAATTTTTGTGTTAATTGAATGTGAAAAATAAGCTGATAGAGTGTAAGACACGGATTCTTTGTTCTATTACTATTACTAAATTTCAGGCAGTCCACTGAACACTGCAAAACACTGTTTTATTAATAACCATCTAAGTGCTGGTATCATCAGGAGCTTGTGGGTTCAATCTCTGGTGACACTGGATGTTGGACCATTCTCCTCCAAAGTCCAATGATGTTGTGTTAGTGGCAGATCAGAAAGATGAGGTGGCGCTCTAATATTTCACATGTTAATGGATGACTAAGGGAATTGGGCCTTTGTGTCGTCTTATATTTATTCATAAGTGAAACAGGAAATCCTGGGTGACAGCTTAGCTGTTTCTGAACACTCAGGTGGCCTTAAAAAGTGAACTACAAATGTTCAAGTTACAATTTTGTTCATTCATTTTCAGAGTAATTGTAGCGCAGAATTCTTTACGCTCTTTATAAAATTAACTATTTTATTAGTTCATTTTAGAAAGAGGGCAGCTTTATATAAAAGTGAGTTATGCTGGTGAAACTCACCCAGTCACAGCAGTGTGGTGGTGGAATGTAATACTGGCATATTGGTGCTCCTCCTGCTGGCCAGTGCGAGTCACTTCATCATTCTGAATCCTGACTGTAGCAAACTGGACATCAGCATCAACATCAGCAGCATCAGCAGTGGTCAGTACAGGTCTGGATCTGCTGTGTGTAACGGTGGCATACATGACATCATCCTGAAAAAGAGAAATTCATGGAAAAGATATTAATGTTCTGAAAAAAGTGGCAGAAATAAACTTTGAATGTTTCCTCAAACATGAAACTTTGTGTAGCTCTTAATCAAAAAACAAATAGGAATTAGTAGACATCTGTAGGTCATCTGGGTTGTGGCCAGCTTACCTGTTTTTTTGGCTCATTGTGATCAGTTCTAGTGGCTCTTTTCTTCATTCTGTGAAAATAAGAAAACATAAGAGAAAAATAATAAACTTTAACTGCTGATGTAAAATTGATACCCTGAAACATTTTTCACACAGTTAGAAAGTATTTTTAGAATGTTTACTGACCTCCAGATGCAGATTAAGACACTGATAAGGAGAAAGCCTCCCCCTCCCCCCACTGCAATCCAGACTGTAGGCAAACTCTGACCTGCAGCAGAGAAAATCAATTCCATCACTTTAGTCTGTCTTTATTGTAAAAGTGGACACTGAAATACAGTATTTATCTTTTTGTTCTCTCTCTCACCTTTAAAAGAGATGGACACTCCAGCTGACCTCTGAGCTCCATGTTCATTCTGAGCTTCACAGTAGTACAGTCCAATGTGGTCAGCAGTGATGCTGATGATGCTGTAATTCTGTCCAGATCCTACAGGTGAGGTTCCACCTTCTTTAAACCAGGTGTAGTTCTTCACAGGTGGGTTTGCATCACTGCTGCAGGTCAGATTCACTGAACTGCCCTCCAATATGTCTCCAGAGGGACTGATGGACACTGAGACATTCTTTGGAGGATCTACAACAGATAAAAATTTGAAAAGAAATAATCTTATAGTGTTTACTGAGTTTCAGTTGAATAAGTTAATACCTCAACATTAACTTACATGCAACATTAATCTGCACAGCAGTAGATCTGCTCTCTCCATGTTCATTCCGACTCTGGCATGTGTATTCTCTACTGTCCTCAGATCTGATGTTGGGAATGCTGTAGGTTTTTCCTTCTCCTACTGATGTTGATCCCTTAAACCAGGTGTAGTTCTTCACAGGTGGGTTTGCATCACTGCTGCAGGTCAGAGTCACTGAACTGCCCACCATTATTTCACCAGAGGGACTGATGGACACTGAGACACTCTTTGGAGGATCTACAGAGAGGTATAATTATATTCCTTTAATGTCAGTTTTTTTTTTTTTACTAATCACAGTAATTACAATAGTGTTTTTTTCATTACTTGAGGTTTCCAGACAGATTTACCACATTGATCCATTTCTGAGGAATTTCTCATTTTGAATTGCTTTTAAGGATGGATGGATAAATAAATAAATAAATAAATAAAAAATAACACAGTATTCTTCTGTGTTTGAGTAATTTGTGAATTCAGAAGTAAAATGAACAAGGCAAAGTAAACTCACATCTGACTCTGAGGTTGTGAGCAGTAGAGTGGAGGTGTTGATATCCTCTTACAGCACAGCTATAACTGCCTGCATCCTCACTGCTGACTGTCTGCAGGTGGAGCTGGTTGTTCTTGATGGTCTTTGTGGTTAAAGGACGTCCATTTTTGTACCAGATGAATGTTGGGTCAGTCAGACTGCAGGTGGTTTTACAGGTCAGATCTGCTGTTTCTCCCTCTGTCACTTCATCTGGAGTTTCCACATGGAGCTCTAAGACCATAAGAGGACAATCAGATTAGGACAAAACAGCTGTAAAGTGAACCTTATTCATCAAAGTTAGAAACAAGCGCAGATTTTTATCCATTGCGAATGATGTTTGATCTTCTCTGTTTCTGATTCAGGAAACTGTTCTAAGCAGACAAATCAAGCAGTGATTTATTACTGAAAAATCATCTTCAGTGCATGGAAACCAGTGTGAACCTTATTTACATATCATTTGTAACAGGCAGCACCACAATTTACCCTCATAAATGTATAATTTACATGAAACAGGTCAAAATTCCTGCAGATGTTTTGAAAGTGAGCCAATAAACAAAAATATGCAGCAACTCCTAAACCATAGGGGGAGTTGAGGGTTGTGTATCAGGTCCACTGCCCCCCCTACTGGTCAAAGCTGAAATATCTTTATAGTCTTAGTACAACAACCAAAAAGAAAATGTTCATTGAACAAAATGTATCCATTTTCAGATAGTAGTTTTTATAAACACTGGCTGCTGGAGTGACAGGATTTGAGCTTGTACTGTATTCAGTAAAATTTTGTATTTTAGGAAGTTATTTACTGTATCAGTAATGTAAAGCAAAAGTCTTTAAATGGAATCTATAGTCACAGCAATTGTTTATATCAGAGTTATAAATGAATAAATAAATAAATAAATAAATAAATAAACAAAAATACATGTATCCATTTTAGCACCAGGATTGCTGTTTGCAAAGTTATTAAAATTAAGGTTATTATTTTTAGTGTGATTGCTAAAATTATTGATGTTATTGACAGTAATTTTGATTATTTAAGTCTAAATCAGGCAAAAATGTTTGAAATGTGTGAGCTCTCATTTTACAATCAGAAGCATTATAAAGAAAAAAAGGTTCATTTTCTCTGGAAGACATTTAGATATTGTATCTCAATTTTTGCAGGGTTTTTTTTTTGGTAATGTTTTTCATCAATTTAAAAGATACAGTTCACATTATATAACATTTTCATGAATAACTGAGCAAACAAAATAGATTTTGACTTTCATTAGCGGTTAAAAATGTTTTATCTTCTCCTGTAAATTTATCATTTTGAAGTCATAAGGTTTTATTCCAATATGATGATGTGTGTTGCTCACAAAAGTTGATGAATAGTCACTCTTATGGTTTATAAATGAATGATCTTAAAATTAGTAACTAATCAATAAGCCATAATATTAAACCTTTATTGATTTCCATGATATGACATGTATAGGGCAGATAATAGAGCAGATAAGCTGAATCAGGTGAAAGAACAGATAAAATGATGTAGGAGTGAATCAGAACAGAAGCTGAACATCATTAGAGCAGATTAATAAAATCAGTGATGATAAAACAACATGAATATTCAGAGCAGTCATGAATAAGAAACATTACTCTGAAACCAGAGCTGTGTCTTATAGCTGGACAATGAGATGATTAACTCACCTGTAACTCTGAGCTGAACTCCAGGACAACCTGTCCATCTTTCTACATGTGTTATGATTCTGAAGCAGAACTGATGTTCATCCTTCTTCATTATATCACTCAGTTTGAGGGAGAAGTGTTTCTGTTCATCAGTTAAATACTCAACTCTGCCTGAATAATCTGGGTCTTTACTCAGATCAGTTGGCTCCACACCATGAACTGGATCTACGGCCCAAAAAGTCTCTGTCACTGTAAGATGTTCTGGGTGAGTATAAGTTCCATTCATAAACACTGTGGATCCTTTTAAAGCACATATTTCCTGTTGGTTGTACTTCACACTCCACTCTGTTCCAAAAGCTCCTGAAACATATGATGCATGAAAGAGCTGATTACAGAGTCTGGAGCCCATAAGACAGTCAGAGTTACTGTAGCTTACAGCTTCACTTCTCTCCTCTCTAACTCCAGCAGCTACTCTACAACACTGAGCTGATTCTGAGAGAAACCACAAAGCCCAACAAACACTGACTCACCGACAATCATGAGCAGGAAGATCAGAGGAAGAGGAGGAGCCATTCTCAATGACCTCATCACAGCAGCCTGGAGGATATTTTTAGTTAATGACAGTTAAATGAAAAGTTTCCACGTCTTCATTTCCAAATTTCTTAAGAAGTGTAAAAGTTTAAATGCTGAAACTATCATGAAGTCTGTGTTTCATTTGGTGAGTTCAATTGATTTAATCAGTTCTTCAACTCTGTGTTATGGTAACCTGATTGTGAAGAGCAAAACTTTTGAAATCAGCTAATAAAGTGATTTGAGTATTTATGACCAGCAGGTTCTTCACAAGGGAAAGTCTATACTGACCAACATGGATCACCTTCTTCATTCAGAGTGATTTTCCCCCGCAGTGTAGATTTAAAGCATTATATTTTGTTCCTCAGGCAATAACTTATTAATATATATATATATATATATATATATATATATATATATATATATATATATAATATATATATATATATATATATATATTATGTCATTTCCTATGTATGTATATAATATTCATAGAAGCCACTGACTCTGCAGAAAGTTGGCAACCTCTGTGCTCTATGCACCTCAGCATCCACTGACTCTGTCATTTTACGTGGCCTACCACTTCTTGGCTCAGTTGCTGTCGTTCCCAATCGCTTCCACTTTGTTATAATACCACAGACACTTGACTGTGGGATTTTTAGCAGAGAGGAAATTTCGTGACTGGACTTTGACAACCCATTCTTTCACAAATGATTGTAGAAGCAGTCTGCATGCCTAGGTGCTTGGTTTTATACACCTGTGGCCATGGAAGTGATTGGAACACCTGAATTCAATGATTTGGATGGGTGAGTGAATACTTTTGGCAGTGTGTATATGTTCCCCAGGTTTTCCCCCAAAGCAATTCCATGTGAGACAATGAAATTAAACTGAACTTCTTTTAAACTTAAATAGAAGAAATATCAGTCTAAACAAAAATACCCAAATATGTACTGTATCTTTTTCAGAAACTATTAAAAATATTCTGAACTAAAGAAAACATCTTACCGTTCAGTAACGAGGCTCCTCTTCAATGTCCAAGAGATAAATGCTGAGAACAGAGGCAGCACTGAGATGTGATACTAGATGTGGTTAAAAGATAAGTAGACAGATGAAACTCAGAGTTATTAATACACTCATTCCTCTTATAGAATATCTGTGGTCATCTTAGCTGCAGCAAGAGATGAACTTTACCTGAAACTTCTGCAACATCCAAAATTATCTCTCAGTGAAACTATGATGTCTTTCCTTTTTAGATGTCTACTGAAGTTCTTAAAACTGGACATGTAACGATGCAGGACTTGATCCAACTTTATTCATCATGTCTGCTCCTCTGTCTGCTTATTTAGTTGCAAAGTTATTTCCTTACACTTAACATGTTACTTCGGTGTGAGTTAAGTTACCCTGTTATTAATCAATCAATCAATCAATCAATCAATCAATCAACCAATCAATCAATCAATTACTAAAATAATTAATTAATTATTGTTTGTCCACTTTTCATTGCTCATGTTCCACTCACAGTCTGACTTACTTATTATTGCTTCTTTTGTTTCTTCTGTTTTCCTTTATAGAACAATAATGTGGGTGGTCCAATGGTGGATTGGTAGATGGTTAGTGGGGTGCTGACCTTATCAAACCAGCAGATGAACATATGCGCAACAACTGCATTTACATTTTGTGTATCTTTAACCAGATAGCACAAAACTACCACTGTTGGCTGGTTAGCATGTTAGCTGGGGCATT